AGCGGGCGCTGCGACGTCATAATCGGTGGTACCCGCTACATCGCGTTCGGTCTGCTTGCCTTGTCGTGATCATGATGGCGTGCACCACGATGGACAACGAGATCGACCCCCTGGAAGAGGTCGACGACGCGGCCGAGTTTATGGCCCAGTACGCAGAGGCACCTCCTGCTCCCGAGGTGCCAGGGGCCGCCGCGGGAGCCCCCCGCCCGGACGATTTCGTCCACGCAGCTGGCGCTTCCGTGCGCGCCGGCACGCACCGGGGGCCAGTCTGGGCCGCCGCCGCCCCAGGGCCCCGGCCGCCGCCGCCGCCGCCGCGGGCCCCGGCCGCCGCTGCCGCCGCCGCGCGGGCCGCCGCTGGGGCCGCCGCGGGCCCCGGCCACCGCCCCCGTGCGGGCGGGAGTGTGTCCGCACCCGCCGTTTGCGGACTCACTCCCGCGCAGGCCCCGGGCGCCCCCGGCGTGGACCCCCCGGGCCCGTGCGGGCTGATCAGCTCGCGCCGTCGGATTGGGTGCCTACCTTCCTGGTCGAGGCTGCTGGCGTGCGGGCCCCTGCCAGGGCCGCCGGGCGCGCTGGCGGGACCGCTAGAGGCGCCGCCGTGGCCGCAGCGGCCGCCAGCTCCGCCGGGCCCGCCTCTGGCGGTCGCCAGGCTGCCGAGGCCTCGAGCGAGTTCGTCGGCACGCTGGTCTCGGCCAACACTTCCTCCTTCGGCCCGATGTTCGACTACGTGGCGGAGGTGTCGCACGAGGTGCGGGTAATTGCCGTGCAGGAGCACCGCATTCCTCAGGCCAGGCTGGGCGAGATGCAGAATCGTCTGGCGGATCTGGGCTGGCATGGGGCTTGGACGGCTGGCTTGGAGACGGCAGCGCAGAGCACAACCAGCGGCGCCGCGGTGTTGGTCCCGTCTTTCGTGCCCCTCACCACGGCCCCTGGCCTGGCCGACGGGACCCTCGTCCCTGGCCGTGCAGCCGCAGCTCGGGTTCACTGGGGCATCCCGCAGGGCCTGGTCTGCATCAGTCTTTACTGTGTGGACTCCGTGGGCTTCGCGGGGCCCAACTTGGATGTGCTGTGGAGAGTTTTCGAGTACTGTTGCCAGCTCAACGCCCAGGGCGAGGACTTCGTCATCATGGGCGACTGGAATATGGCCTCCGATGTGGAGGGGCTCCGCGAGGCGCTGTTGTCGGTTCGTGCCATTCCCTTCGCCCCCGGGGACGTGACTTGCGTTCAGGGGGAGGGCTCCATCATCGACTTCATGGCAGCGTCGTCGAACCTGGTCTCCAGGCTTGACAGCCAGGCGACAGCACAGCTCGACTCTGACTTGTACCCGCACCGCCCTGTGCACCTGCGGATGCGGGGCTGCGATCGCCCAGCCTGGTGCAGGGTGGCCGACGAGCCCAGGCCGCTCTCGGCGCTGCCCCCTCCTGGGTGTGCCAGGCCGCCTTACGACTGGGGGCCGCTGGCGGCGGATGCCCAGGTGGTCACGGAGTCCGACGGGCTGGTCCAGCTCTGGGACGCCGTGCTGCACGGGATCGACGCCGAGCTCTGCGCGCGCTGGGGCAAGGTCGGGGCACAGGCCAAGGCGCACTCGGGCCGAGCGGGGCCCCTCCAGGTGCGCTGGCAGCTTCTGAGATGGCGGCCACGGCGGCGACGGCACTATCGCGATGGTTCCGTTCGACCATGGGTCGTGGCCAAGAGGTGGATGACTCACCTTACGGCTGTTCGTCAGCGGCTGCAGGAGCAGCTCGGCGGCCTGAACTTGGCGGCGGCCATGTGTGACCTGATGCCCTGCCAGTGCTTTGGC